AATATTTATAGATATAAAAAGTAATAAAAATTAATATTAATTTTATTATTAATGTTACATATATTATTTTAATTGAATGATTAATTAAATAAATGTTAGGTTTTATTTTTTATTGACAATTAATACTAAAACAAGTGTTCTTAATCAGTGCCTTTTAAGTCACAAATTAAAAAAAACTCAGTAATTAATTATTGATAAAACAATATGGTGCAATATCAGAGTACTTACCTTCTTCAATGACTAACTGAAGTGTAATATACTGTCTTCACATCGAATGCACTTCACTTTTTTTATGTGGTATACTTAACCTTTCACGCATGAATTCAAACCTTTCCAATTTCAAGAGTCTTATAATTTTTTATAGAAATATAAAGAGAAGAAAAATATAAAGATATATAAAGAAAAAAGCTCTTTTTTTCTTAATTTCACTAAATATATAACATGTTTATTTATAGGTTTGTACATGAGAATATTTTATGGTATAAAATTAATCAACCTAATTATATCAATTAATTATAATGTGAATCCAATTAATATAATTATAATATGAATATTTTGTAACATCTCTCTCAAACTCAAAATGGTGATAAGAAGACCAGCTTGAATTTGAAAAGAAGAGTGTGGAAGCGGCAAGGAAAGTGAGTTTTTGGCGAAAAGATTTGTATAGTGAATATGTAAATCGGTGAAGTCGACGCCACTAGAGGAGAAGGAGGCAATATCAGATCTGGACAACAACAATGTCAGAAGTTCAATTGCGAGAAATCATGAGCAAAATTAGCGACAACAAATCAAAATCAAAATTAGCAGCAATTAGATGCAAGAAGGCTAGAGCAACACTAGCCGTGGAAGTAACATGTATTGTCGGCGCAACAAAGGAACATGATCAAGAAAACCCGATTCCAAATAAGTCCAAGAAAGAAAGCAAAGATGATGATGATTGGCATGACCTACAATCAAAGCAGCAACTTACAAAGGAATGTAATCCGTTAAGCATATCAACCTTTATTTGATTAAAATCCTATTAGTTTCATTTTGATGCCTACAAGCTGAATTTGAAGTTTTTAATGTTATGAAGGACTCGGAACAGAGATTAGTTACAATGTCAATCTATTGAAACTCATATCAAGTCGTAAGTGTCATGTGCAGAGGGTGTAGAACAAGGCAAGTGCATTAATCTCCAAGCCAAAAGGTTTATTACAAAGTTACAAACTCTGCTGATCATACCTCGAAAATCTCAACGTGAGCAAAAGGAGTTTAAGAACATATTAACACAAAGAAAAGAAAAAATGAAAAAAATAAGCTCTCACTAAAAAATTTGACACTTTTCAACTCACAAGTGAAAGGGGGAATGTTGAAGTATGTTGTTTTCCTTGTAAGTTATGAAAAACAAAAATCTCACATAAAAAAAAGAAGAAGCAAAGAATGGTTTAAATATATCAAAATTCATGTAATCACTAAATTAGTTTTTTAATTATAATATAATGTTAAAATATGTGATGAATTATTCAATATCTCCCCAAACTGGACAATTACGTTGGAGAGTCACTGTCTTTCTCAGATTCCTGGTATGCCCATTCTCTAAATCAACATGAACGGATATTCTATTGAAGAATTTATCACCTTTGATTGTAACCGAATTAGTCTTTCGCACTCTTTTCTAACATTCCAAACACGGCCTCCATTTGGTGTTATGTTCAAAGGTTTCACATTAACTTGAAGTGTGTTGGATCTTTCAATTCTTCCTGAAAATATACAGACGCTGGAATTGATGAAAAAGCACACT